AGATGAAAAATCTCGAGAGAAAAATCAACGCTCTGATGTCTGCTTGAGAGATGAAGAAGACCGGTATTCCATGTTCTTACCCAAGAGAGTGAGAGTCGATCCCGTATCCGGTGAAGTTCAACCTGATTAACTTCACATAGTTTGACGGGAAGGGTTCGCCCACTCAGCACTTGATCTACTTTAAGTCCCACTTGGGCATAATATCCGATAATGAAGCATTGATGGTTCGGTCATTCGTTGGCACCCTCCGCGGAGCTACCTTTGATTGGTACCGATGTCTCGAGTCTAGAAGCATCAACAGCTGGGACGACTTGGAGAACCTGTTTCTCGCTCACTTCTTTGATGATGACGTCGAAGTATCAATCAGGACACTCTTCGATGAGAAATAGGAATATGACGAGACGGTCAACGGCTTCGTTAAGCGCTTCTGGAATAAGATGATGAACTGCCAATATCCGATCACAGAGGACTTCATCCTCCAAACCTGTCACAACAACCTCTCTTTGGATGTGTTGGAAGTTATGGGCGTAGCACCATCCAATAGCTGAAAAGAGTTAAAGATAAGCGGAGAGCGGGCCGAACGCTTCCTCAGAAGGAAGAAAGCTGAAAGAAGCCAACCGACGGCTAACCCTCCGAACTCGAGCTTCGTCTCCCGTGGTAAGGGGAAGGTACCTACAGCAGTTATTAACGTTAATCAGACCTCACAACAGTAATCCCAGAGATAGCAAAAGACTTCGGATCTGAGGCTCCAAAAAGAGTACTCCTTCAAGGACGAAGACGTTCCAGCCATTTTCGAGTTCCTCCTTGAAAACAACAGGATCAAGCTATCACCTATCACAAATTAGGAGGAAGCTGACAATACTTCGGATCTAAGGTACTGTGCGTACCACAGGAAGATCCTTCATCCCACCAAGGCTTATTTCGCTCTCAAAAATAGCATTCAAGTCTTGGTTGAAACCGGCGTCATAACGCTAGGATAAGACAAATAAGAACGGCGACACTCCGAAGAGTATACGAGTATAAACTGCTTCTCAATACTCCAACCGGTATACGAGTCTAAACTATTTCCTAATTTTAATGCGAAGTTCCTGGAAGAATATCGTATGTGATATTCTTAAGGATAACCAGACCATTCAGCTGAGTACAATGTTAGACCTAGTTTGACAAAGACAGCTGGGGATAGATGTAACGGGAAGTTCCCGAAAGAATGCTATATGTAGTGTTCTTAGGGATAACCCGGTCACTACAAAAGGGGATAATAAGAAACTCCAACTTGAACTCTAAATGCTTCCAAGAGTGAAACACATCTAATTGCCGGGATCAGTTTCACCAACTTCTAAATACTCTTTTGCTGTGACGAGATTTGATCACTTCGTTGGATCAATCATCCCTCACACAAAACTCCCATTGTTGTTGATGATTTACAATCTTCCACCACAAAATCCCTTACTGATCAAATTAATTGACAGTGAGTCCACTAAAATTCTTTCTGATTTAATCCATTCAAACTCACACTGTATCTGTGCACTCAACATTCCCATTATTAGAGTCAGGGCATAATGCTTGGAATTTTAATCTGCCAATCCTTGACGATTGTCAAACCCATTCGTGTTAAGTTCTTATCACTTAACACCAAGAATCCTTACCGAGTGATCGGTACAAGTCAATACTCCCACTATGATTTGTACTCCCACTCTCATTGACTACCTGGTCAAACCTTCTTACAGTTAGGGCCACAACCAAAATCTCCTCTCGATTCCTTCCATGAATGAGAGGTCCACTTCCGAATCGAGCTATCAAACCTTCCTACAGTTAGGGTCGCCTCAAACTCCTACTTGGTTAAACCTTCCTACAGTTAGGGCCAAAACCAAAATCCACTCTCGATTCCTTCCATGAACAAAATATCCACTTTCAAATCGAGTGATCAAACCTTCCTATAGTTAGGGTCACCTCAAACTCCCATTTGGTCAAACCTTCTTACAGTTAGGACCAAAACCACAATTCACTCTCGATAAATGAGAAATTCATCTTTAGTTTGGTAATCAAACATTTCGATAGTTAGGATTATCTGAATCTTTTCGATTCTCGGAGTGGATATCACACTCATAGTTTCACCTTCCCGAATTCTAGAAGTGGAGATCCCACTTTGAGTTTCTGTTGGCAACTGGAGATATAATATAAAATTCTTCTTCTTCAGCTTTGGGATATAGAATATAAAATTCTTCCTCTCCCGCATCGGGTTCGTATTTGCCCCAAGAGAAGATATAATCTTTCAATATTATAACTCCTAAAATTCGAGTCTTACATGCGCGGGGAACTTTATCTCGACTCCTAAATAGAGATAAGCTTACGCCTAACACGCGTTGCCGGTTTAGTCTTTCACCGATTGAAGAAGACACTAGAATCCGAGTCTGAGGACTTTTATCCCGAAGCCTAAGTAGGGATAAGTCAGTGCCTAACACACATTGCCGGTTAGTCTTTTGCTATAAAAAAGACAAAAGTCCACATATTCAATATTATGGTAGGTTGTTATTCAAAACACAAAAATCCGCGTCTTACATGCGCGGGGAACTTTATCTCGACTCCTAAATAGAGATAAGCCTACGCCTAACACCCGTTGATGGTTTAGTCTTTCATCAATTGAAGAAGACACCAGAATCCAAATCTGGGTAATTTTATCCCGAAACCTAAGTAGGGATAAGTCGGCGCCTAATACGCATTGCCGGTTAGTCCTTGATCGTAAAAAGGACAAAAACCCACATATTCAACATTATGGTAGGCCGTTAATAATAACACCAAAATCCGCGCCTTACACACTTGGGGAACTTTATCCTAAAGCCTAAGTAGGGATAAGTTAACGCCTATCACGCATTGCCGGTTTAGTATTTCGTCGAGGGAAAAAGACACAAGAATCCAAGTCTGATGACTTTTATCCCAAATCCTAAGAAGGGATAAGTCAGTGTCTAACACGCCGGGTAGTCTATTCTCAAAAGAAAGACGAAGTCTACGTATTCAATATCGTAGCACTAAAAGAGTTTACTCTTTTAGCACAACGTCACATGTGAAACAGACTTAAACAATCCGTATGCAAGCCCGATTCAAAGGGTAGTCGGTAAAGGCACATCAAATCCGTTAAAGGCTGAGGATTTACCAAAAATCCTAAGTCTACGTCTGATACACGTTGTTGTTTAGTATTTTTATAGGAAAAAGACGAAGTCTACGTATTCAATATCGTAGCACTAAAAGAGTTAACTCTTTTAGCACAACGTTACGTGCAGAACGGACTTAAACAATTTGTATGCTAGCCTAACTCAAACGGTAGTCGGTAAAGGCTAATCAAACCCTTTAATGGCTGAGAATTTACTAAAAATTCTATAAATGCGATAGTCATTGATGCACCAGCCCTGTTAACTGGTCTCATTACTCAAAGATCCGACAACCTCAGGATGAGATCCATACCTATAGATGAATTAGTTTTAACAATTAGTCCTACAGCCCCAACATTTGGGACCACTACGCTCCAACGCCTTAAGAGCTTAAACTCTATAGACTCCAGCAAACGTACGAGTATAAACTATATTAACGACGGTCAATGTGTTACAGTAATGGATAACGCCAGTCAACGCGCTACAGTAAAGGTTGATGCTGGTTAACGCATTAGTAATTTCACCAAAATAAGGCAAAGGATGATTCCAGGGAGTTCAATCGCATTCAGATATGAATTTCTGACGAAGATGAAGGGAGTTCAATCGCATTCAGATATGAATTTCTGACGAAGATGATCAGTTCAAAGTCAACTCAATGACACAAGCTAAATTCACGCATTCAGATATGAATTTCTGACGAAGATGATCAGTTCAAAGTCAACTCAATGACACAAGCTAAATTCAGAAACTTACGCATCAACTTCAGTTCAAGATTTCGACAATGGTCAGATGCTAAACGCAGCGCCAGAAGAACTTTATCTATTCGACAAAATACTAAATAGACTGAAGGCTGAAGAAGTTAAGAATTGAAGCAGTTCACAGATCCCTCTATGAGATTGAAGAAAGAGCCTATCTTATCCAAAGCATTCTGGACTCTTCTATAAAAGAATGAGTCTAAAATACTTTGGAGAGGGTATCTGTAGGCGTCTAAAAATACCTATAGATATCCGCACATAGCTCGAAACGGAGAGAAGATGATGAACGTTGTTATCTGAGTCTAAGAGAATTATCTGACGCTGACAAGTACATGAACCGGAATGGCGAACAAACCGTGTCTCGTGTGCTCACCGACCACCTCCAATTGACCGTCACACCTGTCGGTCAGCTCGCGTGTCAGTCAGCTCCAAGTGACTGAACATGCTCGTTAGTCAGCTTGCGCGTGTCGATCAACTCCAAGTGACCGAACACGCTCGTCAGTCAGCTCGCGCATGTCGGTCAGCTCCAAGCGCCCGCCACGCTTGTCGGCCAGCTCCAAGTGCTATAAAGAAGCTAACGAGCGCATGAAACAAGTTAATGAACCGTACAAGTCAACAAGATGACTAAATATGCAAAATGGCAGAAAATACAAGTCCCGGAAAACCGAAAAACATCAAAGAGTTCATCAAAAGGCCAAAACTCCCGCGCCAACGCAGGACAGCGGTAGCTGACCCGCACCAGCTTAGGTCAACCGGCACTAACCCACGCTAGCGTGGGTCAGCCCGCGCCG